TGATTTATAATTTCCTTCCTTGTACTAGCTTTGGATTTGGATTTGGATGGTTTTTGGTTTTTTAGGACCTTAAAGTCCATCATTAGGTTATTTATCTGGGCTCACTCTAGTTTTCTGGTGTTAGCATTCACAGCTATAAACTTCCCACTTAGGAGTGCTTTCATTATGTCCCATAGGTTCTGGTTATTGTACTGGCATTTGATTTTAGGAACTAATTTCTTCCTTGGTTTCTTGTGTGACTCGTTGATCATTCAAGAGTGCATCACTGAATTCCATGTGTTTGCCTAATTTCTGTGGTTTCTTTTGCCATTGATTTCTAGTTTTAAACATGCTTTATTGCCTAGTATGTAGTCTGTTTTGGAGAAAGTTCTACATTCTTCCTGAGAAGAGGATGTATTCTGTTGTTAGGCAGAACATTCTATAGTCTGTTAAGTTGTTTGAAGTTTGGTTCAACTCTGATATTTCTTTGTTGATTTTTTTTTTTTTTTTTTTTTTGGTCTAGTTGATCTATTTGTGACAGTGGGATATTGAAGTACCCCCACTATAATTGCACTGTTTTTTGGTGCATATATGTTATTATATGTGCTGCCAAAGCAAGCACTGCATATGTGTTTATAATTGTTATTTCTTCCTGTTGAGTTATTCCCTTAACCAATATGTCCTGTCATTTTCCTTTTCTGCTCAGTTTGTGTGTGTGTGTGTGTGTGTGTGTGTGTGTGTGCGTGCGCGCTTGTGTGCGCATGCGCACACATACACATACACACTGTTTTTCAAAGCAGGGTCTCACTGTGTAGTTCAGGCTAGCTTTGAACTCACTGTGTAGCCCAGGCTGGCTTCAAACTCACAGTGATCCTCCTACCTCAGCCTTGAGTGCTGGGATTACAGATGTGTACCACCATGCCCAGCCTTCTGATCAGTTTTAGCTTAAAGTCCATTTTGTCTGATAATAAGATTTCTACTTCTGCTTGTTTTGGGGTTCCTAATGCATCAAATATTGTTTCTATCCTTTGGTTTGTTAATCTGTGAATTTTTTTAATTAAATGCGTTTCTTGTGTATAGAATATTGTTGTCTCTTTTGTTGTGTCTATTTTTAAGTGATGCGCTCTGGTCCTGGCTAACTATAGACCTTTGCCTCTGTCCCAAGATCCAGCTGCATCCTTTATTTTGGGAGAGGAAGTACAGTATAATTGGTCTGACACCCAGTTCTCTTGGAATTGACCAAAGTTCTGTCAGTGACAAAAAAATCTCCAGATAGTGGCACAGAGAATATCAATGGCAAGAACTCTTCTACCCTGGCAATATAAACAAAACCAGCAACAATAGTAGAATCAAAAGCATACTGAATATTGACTTACCATAGGAACTAATAATTTACCACCTTTAACCATAGAAAAGAGATATATAACTATAGTATCAAGACAAAGAAACTAAATATTAATATACACTAAATATCTACTAAATACAGCAACTATACTCCAGCAACAATAGAAAAGAATTCAACAGTAATAGCCTAGAATTTACTGAATATCTAGAGATTAATAAAGCTTAATAATTATACCTGTAATGGTAGAGAGACTGGGCATGAGGGTATATGCCTGTAATCCTAGCACTTGGGAGGCTGAGGCAGGAGGATCATATCAAATTTCAGTTTAGAGACAGTCTGAACTACATAGTGAGACCCAGTTTCAAAAACAGAAAGCTAGAGTGGATGGGGAGCAGGAGAATTTAACAAAGTTAAAATCTGAGAAATAAAGAAAGATGAGGAAAGACCAGCAAGATAAAGGATCCTACAAAGAAATAAAAAGAAATTAATAGAATTAGATAAAAGTAACAGAAAAGAAGAAACAAGGCAAAAGAAAAAAGGAAAAACCCAACCACAATCAGTGAAAAAAGCATGCAGAAAGATTTCTCTTTTTGTCAATGAGTGGTTTCTTTCTGGGATTTGTGGTTTTGTAATCCAGTAGAGATGGGGGAGAGATAGTGAGTCGCCATTAATATCTGTTTTATTTCTGCACTCAAATATTTGTGTGTGAATACCGAGTTGTTCTCTGCCTTTCTCAATGAGTGGGGTCTGTCAGTGATGGTGGTAGTCACTTGGGTAGCTCCTACTTTCTCTGTCTCTCTGTGCACCTCCAGCTATGATTTTTTTCTGCCTACCTTTATGCTCAGTGGGTTTGTAAGGTGCCTCCCTGTCCAGAGCCAACCCATCTCATCCATCCCAAGCTGTAGCAACTATCCAAATCAGGCTATCTGCTTGTTCAAGTTGGTAGGTAGAAAAACAGACTACTGAGTTCTGTAGTGATAGAGGGAGGGTATCAAGCAGTCTGATGGACTTGGTGCCAACACTTCCAGACAGCTCTCTGAAAGCCACATATGCCTTGCATGACTTCAGAGGGTGGGGCCCCAGTCCTTCCTATCCTGAGCATCTTTAGGAGGTCTCTTGTCAGCTCATGCCCTTTCCACAGCTGTCACCTGTGGCCATCTCCCACCCAATCCCTATAGTCAGGTGATACCAGAAACTCTGGAGTGTAGTTGTTTCATGGTTCAGTTAAGCAATTAATCCCTTCTCAAAATGGATCCTGATTAAACCCTCTCAAATATGGTGGACACTGTACTGGATTAACCCAAACTTGATAGTAGTTTTTCTTTCAAGAGTCTGTTGACAGCCGTGTATGGTGCCACACACCTGTAATCCCAGTACTCGGAAAGTTGAGGCAGGAGAATCACCAGGAATTGGAAGTCAGCCTGGGCTACAAAGTGGAGTTCAAGACCAGCCTGAACCATACAGTGTAACCCTGTCTCAAAAAGACCAAAAAAAAGGTCTGTTGACATAACTATAATCCCAACCCTCCTAACGTTAGGGCAGAAGGATAGTACTATGAGTGCGAAGCCAGCCTGCGCAACAGAATAAGACCCTTTTCAAAACACCAAACCAAAACAAAAGTATTGAAGTCTGGGGATGTAGTGTAGTGTTAGCATGCAGGGGTTGCATTCCAGCACAGGAAGAAAGACCTATTGAATCACCTTTGCTATAAAAATGTTTTAAGGATTATACATATAAAAGTGAAATACCTAGGAATCAATCTAACAAAGGCTGTAAAAGACCTCTGCATTGAAAGCTATGGCAGTTTGAAAAAGGAGGTTGAAGAGGATGTCAGGAAATAGACATCTCTTTCTCTTGGATAGGAAGAATCAATATAATAAAAGTGATCATGCTTCCAAAACCCTTATACAGATTTAATACAATTGTGATCAAAATTCTAATAGTGTATCTCACAGAATTAGAGAAAACAATCTTAAAATTCATCTGAAACCAGAAGAGACCTAGAAAAGCAGAAGCAGTTCTGGGCAACAAAGGCAAGGCAGGTGACATCACAATCCTTGACTTAAAGTTATACTATAAAGCTACTGTGATGTAAAAAAAACATTGTGGTACTGGCAAAAACAAAACAAAACTCCTGAGGATCAGTGGCTCAGATTAGAAGATGGAGAAACAACTCTAGACACACTAAGCCACCTTATCTTTGATAAGTGCCAAACACATTGGCCGGAAGAAGGATAGCCTCTTTAATAAATGGTGCTGGAAAAACTGGCTGCTGAAGATTAAAATTGGACCCATATCTTTCTCCATGCACTAAACTAGATTCAAAATGGATCAGCACTTTAAACAGAAACATTAAGTCTGCTGGAAAATAGATAAAACTCTTGAAGACATTGGTGTAGGCAAGGACTTTATGAGTAAAACTGCGATGGCACAGAACTGTCACAAAGAATCAACAACTGCGATATCTTACTTAAGAGCTTTTGCATAGCAAGAAAAACCACCAACAGAGTGACGAGACAACCCAAAATGTGAGAAAAAATGTTTGCCAGTTGTTCCTTAGACAAATGATTACCATCAAGAACATATAGAGAACTCAAAAATAGCAGTCCTCCCAAATTTAAAGACCCAATCCAAAAATGGGATGAATACATACTTCTCAGATGGCAAAATGCAAACAGCAAATAAATATATGAAAAAATGTTCAACATCATTGGTCATTTGAGAGATGCAAATTAAAACAACATTGAAATTCCATCTCACCCTGGAAAAAGAAATTAACCAATAACAAATGATGGAGGGGTTTAGGGGAAAAGGAACCCTTTCCCACTGTTGGTGGGAGTGTAGACTGGTGCAACCACTGTGGAAATCAGTGTGGATATTCCTCAAAAAACTAGGATTCTCATTTGACCCATCTTCTGGGTATCTTCCAAGAAGAATTAAAAACATTGTATCACAGCAGTATATGTGCACCCATGTTTATAGCAGCATAGTTAGCCAGATCTTGGAAACAACCTAAAGGCCCATTGACTGAGGAATGGATAAAAAAGAGGTGGTATTTTTATGTAATATAGTACTACTCAGCCACAAAGAAGGGTAAACTGGAGACATAGGTAAATGGATGCAACTCAAGACTGAACCCATAAGTGAAATAAAGCAGACCTGCACGTGTAAACATCACATTGTCTCACTAGTGTGAGAAGCTAAAAGAGTAAATAAGATCCAAAATGTGTAATAAGATATTGTGAAATAGGAAGAAGCTTCAAAAGGGAAGAGAAACTGGGATGAGAGAATGGAGAAAAGGAAGGGAAAAGTGAAAAATGAAAAATGTAGATATGTATAAATAGTTATACTACTAATTTCTCAATTCATTGAAAAGGTTTGTGTGGGCTGTTAAATGCTGTTCTCTTGTTCTTTGACTAAAGATAACAATTTGCAATGTATTAACTGTTGTTACCCTCTTGTTTTGAAATTTTGGGGTTTTTTCTCTTTTAAAAAAGGATAATACGGGGCTGGGGATTTAGCTCAGGGCCATAAGCACCTGCCTTGCAAGTGTACGTTGTGAGTTCGATCCCTGGTACCGATAAAAACAAAAAAGACAAAAAAAAAAAAAAAAGGATAATACATATTCTGTATATACATATATGTAATCTGAAAATAATTGTACTTACTTTTATAGCCATTGGAAAAGAAGTTTGTCCGAGTTTCGGGAGAAGCAACTATTGGGCATGTAGAAAAATTCCTCAGAAGAAAAATGGGTCTTGATCCAGCTTGTCAGGTACAGTATGTGTATGTAAAGGAACAGGTAAAGCTGTAAGATTACTTTTAGCATAGTGAGGAAAGAATTACTCTGCGATTTTATGCAGTGCCTTTTGTTTTATGATTCTGTAGACACTGCAAATGTTAACTGAATGTTGATGTACAATGATCCCCTCCTCTAACGGCAGTCCATTTCTTATTGACATTAAGAATTATCTCTTGGGCTGGAGATTTAGCTCAGTGGCATTAGCGCCTGCCTTGTAAGCAGGCAGTCGTGAGATTGATCCCCGCTACTGATAAAAAGGAAAAAGACAAAAAAAAAAAAAATTATCTCTTGATGTCAGAGAAATGCTAAAAAGACCTATAAAGTGAAAAATATAGGCCTTCCCAGTTTTTTAATGATTGAAAAACATCTCCTGTTCTTTTTTTTTTTTTTTTTTTATCTGTTCCAGGGATCAAACTCATGACCTGCCTGCTTGCAAGGCAGGTGCGTATGCCACTGAGCTAAATCCCCAGCCCCTACATCTCCTGTTCTAAGCATACAGTATTTTTAGTTGTTACAAGATGGAAACTTTATGTGCTTGCTAAACATTAAAATACAAAGATATTCACAGTTCTGTAATACTCATAGTACTGTGGAATGCCTAAATCAAGCTAAGTTATGGATCCAGTGAAAATGCGTATTTTTATAACTTTGCTTTATCCTTATTCTTTTTTTTTTTTTTCTTTTTCATTAATTTAAAAGTTATTTGTTTGTTTGAGACAGAATCTCACTAAAGTCATTAAATTGCCTGGGCTGGGCTTGAACTTGAGATCCTATTGCCTTAACCTCCCAAAGTGCTAGGGTTGCAGGCATGCTCCATCATACCCAGCTAAAACATATTTTGTTAGTATTGCCTAAATTAATATGTTAAAACCTGACTAAAGGGGCTGGGGATTTAGCTCAGCGGCATAAGCACCTGCCTTGCAAGCAGGCAGTCGTGAGTTCAATCTCCAGTACCGATAAAAATGAAAAAGACAAAAAAAAAAAAAAACCTGACTAAAATTTTGATAGTACCAATCTCTACTGCCCTAGAAATAGGTATTAAGACCAGTGAAATGTGACTTCTCTGAGCCTGACATGCTGGCTGTATCTCATGGCAGTGAAAGCTACAAGTGACCTACCTATTACTTGATAGCCATGGCATACTTGAGGTTGCTCTTAGGCTTATGGTTAGAAACAGAGTCTCCTGGATAAAGACTTGCAAGGGATCTTGTATGAGTATATTATTTCTAAAAGCAGAAGGCAAACAACTTTTCCCTGATCATATAAAATAAATAAGGATACCGAAGACAGCCCTCACTAGGATTTAGACTTTTGTGGCTAGATTTTTATCAGAGCACAATTCCCATTTATAAGTGTTTATCCGATTTGATGATTTAATAAAGATCAAAATTGGGCTTTTGTGTTTTTCCCATTGATTGATTAACAGGGCCCTGCTATATGGTTAGGTATGGACTTGAATTTGTGGTGATCCTCCTGCTTCAGCCTCCCAAGTGATGGAATTATAGGTGTATGCCACTATACCCAAGTGGTTTTTTTGTTTTTTAGGTTTTTTTTTGTTGTGCTTGTTCTTTGGGTTTTTTTGATACCAGGGATTGAACTACGACCTCGTGCTTGCCAGGCAAGCACTTATGCCACTGAGCTAAATCCCCAGCCAAGTCTTTTTAATCAACAAATTGTATGTATTTATCAGGTAGACATGAAGGTTATACTGTGGAATGCCTAAATCAAGCTAATTAACAGGCAGCATGGCCTCACATGCTTATTTTTTTAATGGTGAGAACCCTTAAACTTTGTACTTAGTACTTTTCAAGAATAGATTGTTATTAATATGTATCAGGCCCTGTGTTTAGTTGTGGTACCTCAAAACAAAAACAAAATATTGTTATTATATAGTCACTATGTTGTATCATAGATATCTTCTAAGTTGATTTTGTTATATGAAAATGTGGGTTCTCTTTTCCTTACAGAATTCAAGTGACATTTAGAAGTGATTTAAATTTCATCTCAATCTTTAATTTTTTCTATCAGCTCCTAGTTCTCTATAAAATACTCTTTACTTCCCTTAAGGAGTGTTTTTCGTATTTCATATAATATTAAAACAGTGCAGGGCCAGTGACTTAGCTCAGTGGCTCAAGCGTTTACCTGGTAAGTGTGAGGTTGTGAGTTCAATCCCCATCATCAAAAAAAAGAATGAATAAATAAAAAATAAAGCAGTGCAACCCAGTTATCAAGTATGCACACGCATTAATTTGTGATTATTATCTTTTAAGCTTTCTGAATCCAAGAGAAATAAGCAATTTGAGTTACGTGCAATATGAAGGAGACATCAAGCTGGGTGACTGGTAATTGAATAAAATTTTGATGTCCCGTAGACCCCTGAGTGTACCATGTGGACTCTCTTTAAACCATGTAGTCCTGGGTAGGAAATATGTGCTGTTTGTTTTGTTTACAGATGTGGGACCTTTTATATGTGGTTATTTATTAGTAGGAAGAAATAATTACCAGTGAACTATTGAGTAATAAACTACCTTTAAAATGGTTTGTAGCCAACCAAACCCCCCACCAAAAAAAAAAAAAAAAAAGTGAGGGAGAAAGAAAACACCCAGGGAAGACAATTTAAAAATCATGTATTCTATCTGTTTTGTTTGTTTATTTTGAGACAGAGTCTCATTGTATAGTCTGGGCCAGCCTGGAACTCACTGTGCAGCCCAGGATGTCCTGAGATTTGTAACCCTCCTGCCTCAGGCTCCTAAATTCTGGGATGATGAAATTTTGGAAGTTTTCATTAAAAATATTATAAGATGGTATTTGTGGTATGATCACATTTTTTTGTAAAGACTAAAAACAATGGCGCACATAGCATCTAGCATTATGCAAACAGTTTGTAACTGGCCATTAGGGGTTGGGATTGAAGTGTGGGAAGAATTGCCATTTAATTTTATAATGCTCTGATTTTGGTTTTGCATTTTTCCTGATATTGAACCAGCAGCCTTCACACTGAGCTGCAGTCTTTGCCCTTTTGTTATTTTTTGAGACAGTGTCTCACTAAGTCTCTGCTCTGAATTGCCCAAACTGGGCTCAAACTTGCAGTCCTTCTCAGTGTGCTGGGTTTACAGGTACATGCCACCATGGCCAGCTGTAATGTTATGTGTCTTAAAAATTTGCTATATATCCTGTGCTTTTGCTGCAGTGAATTATAATTTTTTTTAATAAAATTGTTGCCAGTGTAATGTTAGCTACTCAGGAGACTGAAGAAGGATCAAGTTTTGAGACCAGCCAGGGCAGTTTTGTGAGACCCTGTCTCCAAAAACAAATAAAAACCAATGAAGCTGGTAAATGTAAAACACTGAAGTTGTTACTAATCTAAGGTTGCATACAATTATGGAATAGAATGGGTATTGGCAAGCCTGGTATGGAGGTGATCCCAGCGCTTGGGAAGCTTAGATGGAGAATTGGGAATTTGAGACTTGGTCTTAGCAAGACCTCATCTCAAGGAAAGAAAAAACAAAAAAACACAGCATAAGTCTGGATCAGCTACCTGAAGAGCAGATCTAACCTGCCACCTGTTTTTACAGATGAAGGGTTATTGGAACATAGCCACACTATTGCTGCTTGCATGTTATAACACCTGAGCTCAATAGTTATTACAGATTCTGTGGTCTGTAAAACAAAGTTTTTTTTCCTTTTTGTCTTTTTGACACAGGATTTCACTTTCTGGCCTTGAACTCACTTTGTAACCCAAACTGGCCTTGAATTTGAAGTGATTCTCCTACCACAGCCTCCTAAGTGCTAGGATTACAGGTGTGTGCCACCACACCTGGCAATATAAATTATTTATTATCTAAACCTTTATAGAAGAAATTGTTAATGCTGATGTTTTTAGGTTTTTCAAAAATTGTAATTTTTTTTTTACTTATTTTTTGACCCAGGGTCTCACTGTGTAGTTCAGGCTAACCTTGAACTCACTGTGTAACCCAGGCTGACCTTGAACTTGTAGCAATACTTTTGCCTCAGCCTCCTATGTGTTGGGATTACAGGTGTGCACCATGACACCCTGCAAGGCTTTAAAAATTTTTTAAATGTTTATTAGCACCTGTTTGTGGTACTAATGATTTCATTTCTTTCTTTTTCTTTTTTTTTTTTTTTTTGTCTTTTTCCTTTTTATCAGTAACAGGGATCGAACTCACGACTGCCTGCTTGCAAGGCAGGCGCTTATGCCGCTGAGCTAAATCCCCAGCCCCTATGATTTCATTTCTTTGGGAGGAGTTGGTACATAATATATCTTAATTTTTTTTTTTCACTTTTTCCCTTCCCTTCCCTCTTCTCTCCCTCAGTGTCAATCCCCTTCCAATTTTCAAAAGATCTGTCTTCTGTTTCCTACTATCTTTTATTTTACTCTTTAAATTGTTTATATGCTTTAGGCTTTGGATAAAAATAGAACGAGAGGTAGATCTAGATTCAGATCTGAACTTTGCTACTTACTAGCTTTGTAGCTTTAAGGAAGTTTAATGTCTGCTCTGGCCTGTAAGAGGGAATACCCAGCTCACAGGCATGTAAGAATTAGCTAACAGTGTTAAAAGACAGGGTTCCTCATTAAACCCAACAGCCTTTACTCTTCTTTCTCAACAAAGCTGAAGGTTGTAGGGAGGTTAACATGTTGCTAGTGCATAGCATTTATTACTGATTTCCTTTTGGGAGGATTGGACCCAAAGCCTCATGCATGCCATCGAGCTATACTCCTCCTATCCCCTAGGATTTTTTTTTTTTTTTTTTAAGTAAAAAGAATTTTGAAGTTAAATTCTGGTTAGGAAGTGAGTGGTTTTAGAAGTTTAAGCCTCAGGGCAGCAGGGGTAGGAAAAAAGAAGCAATAGGGCTTTGTAGTTAATTGCATGTGAGAAGGAAAAAGGGGAGTCCTAGATGATAGTCTGATGTAGAGGAAAAGGAGAGATTATAAATCATAGACTAAGGACTTCTAGAGAGAGAGTCAATTAAGTGATAGGTATTTATAAGATGAGAAACTAACCAGGGGTGGTGACACATGGCTGTAATCCCAGCACTCTGAGAAGCTGCAACAGAAGGATCACAAATTTAATCCCATCTGGGCAATGTAGTGACTTAGTGAGGCTCTTCCTCAACATGAAAAATAAAAAAGAGCTGGGGATATAGCTCAGTGAGAAGACCCTGGGTTCAGTCCTTTGTGCTGTGGGGAGAAAAAGACTGAGGACCTGACCCCAAGTTAAAGCAATGATATGGAACTGCCCAATCACAGATAGAGTAAAAATTTGCATTTTGATTTTAATAAATATATGGAAATCTTATTGTAATGTAGTATATAATTGTACAATATTCTCTAGAGAATTCTGTGTAAACACATGGTAAATCTTCGAACTTTACCATTACTACTGGGCTGCAAAGTTTGTGTTAAACTTCTGAGCATGGAGACAACTTACAATCCCAGCACTCAAGGCTGAGGTAGGAGGAGGGTTGCTACAAGTTCCAGGCCAGCCTGAACTGCACAGTGAGACCCCATCTTTACGGGGGGAAGAAAAAGGATCATGTTAAGGTTGTTCTGTTCACAAAAATTTACTTAGTATTTTAGGTCATTGGAAAAGGAATTCTTCATAAGAGAAGTATTAAAAGATTGCCTTCTTAATTGTTAATACTGTATAATTAAAAACCTTTTAGAAAAAGTACTCGTGCCATTTTGTGCTAAATACATTGGACATGACTTCTCTGAAATTCAAGGAATCATTTTGATTATTATATAGTACTGTTTCATTCTGTGTTCTTCCCATTTTCTGGCTTTTTGCAAAAATTTGTGTAATAAGTCTAAAGTAAAAGCACACACCCCATCCTGAAGTAACTGTGTTGTTTTTCCCCATCATTTCTCTGGTGCTGCTCTGGAGCAGGAAAGCAACCCTTCATGCTCTTGATTCCCACAGGTGGACATCATCTGTGGCGATCACTTGCTGGAGCGGTACCAGACCCTGCGGGAGATCCGGCGGGCAATAGGTGATGCAGCAATGCAGGTGGGTCTCTGGCTGTGTGGGCTCTGCCAGGCAGACAAGCGATTTCATGAAAGAAAAGTTCTAGCTTTTGAATAACATTTTTGCAAATGACCCACAATTTTCTTAAAATTATCTGGATCACAAATAATAATTACAGCTAATATTTATTAAATGCTTACTAGATATACCCCCTTTGGATTGTTACTATTTTTTGCTTGTATTTATTTTATTATTTTAAAGACAATAAAACAGAATAAAGCCAATCAAAACAAACAGTAAAGTGGTACAGATCCTCAAACTAGGACAACAGGAAATCAACAAAGGCCACTACAGTATATCCTGCTGTCTTCCCAGTAGCTGTCTATACCATCAGACATAGTAAAACCAAATAAAATGAAACAATAAAACCAATCAAAGCAGAACGCTAAATAAAACAAAACAATAAGTCAGAACAAAACAAAACAGAACAACACGAGCTCAAAAACTACACAGAAGGAAATCTCCCACGTTGCCATACTGTTACCCTCCCAATAGATGCCCAGGCCTGCAAAATCAATCAAGAAATACAAGTATTTAGTTGTTTTGTACCTCAGCTGCTGTCAACTCAGCCTACCCACTGAACCAGCTGGTTGCTTTTGGTGAACCGCGGGGATCTTCTTGATTCTCAGCCTGTGTGCCATGTGGTTCACAGGAAGGGCAAATTAGCTTCTGTCTTCCTGGGCCCCTCTTGGTTTGCACTGCTTATGGGAGGGATGAACTGGGTCCTCTTTTCCTGGGCCCTACATGGTTTGTGTGGCTTACAAGAATGGCAAATTGGCTTTTATATTTTGAGATAGGGTCTCTCTGACTTGACCTGGATGACTTTGCTCCTTTTTTTTTTTTTTTTTTTTTTTTTTCTTTTCTTGTACCAGGAATCGAACTTGCAACCGCCTGCTTGCCAAGCAGGAGTTGATGCCACTGAGTTAAATCCCCAGCCTCGAGATAGGGTCCTTCTGTTGTAGCCAGGGCTGGCCTTGAACTTGAAATCCTCCTATTCCGCCTTCCAGATTCTGGAATTATAGCACATATGTGCCTATATTCTAAGTTTGTTGGCAGCAACTGCTGCTGTTTATTGTTGTTTATTAATTTAGTTTATTTTTTGCAGTGCTGAGAATCAAACCCATATCCTTGCATGGACTATGACATCCTAGTTTCTTTTCCTCTTTTTTTGAGACAGTGGGGGTAGCCCAGGCTGGCCTCGAATTTACAGTGATCCTCCTGCCATTTCCAAAGTGCTTGGATTATAGGCATGTGCTTCCACACAGCACTAGGAGATCCTGGTTTCTAAATACCATTATTTTCCGCTAGACAAAACTTTCACATTAACCACATCAACTCAGTGGAAATTTTAAAACAATTCATCTGTAAAAATCAGTTTGACAGCCAGGCACAGTGGTGCACACCTCTAATCTTAGCTACCTGGGAGACTGAAGCAGAAGAATTGCAAGTCCAAGGTCAGCCTAGGCAACTTAGCAAGATCCTGTCTTAAAATAAATGGAAAAAACTGGGGATGTAGCTCTGTGATAGAGCACTGCTGGGTTCAATCTGCAGTACCACAAAATATATGTGTTTCGGTTTTCCACTAAATTTGACATTCGTTTTTATTTTTATTTATTTTGAGATGGGATCTTTCTGTGTTACCAGGCTAGTTTCTATTTCATTTCAGCCTTTTACCTGCCAGTACTACAGTGTGTGCTCCTGGGTTCAACCCACTTTTTTCTTTTGAGAATTTTTTTCTTTTGAGCTTTTTAAGATCGACACAAAAGTTATAAAAAGACCTCCATAGGTATCACCTAGCATGCTTTCATGTTGTCTTACATAACCAGAGTACAGTTACAGTGTTAAAACCATAAAGTTAATGTTACTTTAATACCTTTAGCTAAACTGTAGACCTTCAGATTTTGCTAATTTTCCCATTAATGTTTTTATCCAAGATCTAAATTTAGAATTCTACATGGCCCTTTGATATTGTGTCTTTTGTCTTCTGAGTTCTGCAGTGTTTCCTCTTCTCTATTGACTGTTACTTGTGTTTTTTGTTTTGGGTGTACTAGGGATCAGCTCTCAACCTTTAATCTTTTATTTTTTTATTTTTTATCTTTATGAAGTCTTGCTATTGTAGTTCAGCTTTGAACTCACTATGTGGCCCAGGCTGGCCTCAAACTCAGGGAAACCCTTCTGCCTCAGCCTCCCAAGTGCTGGTATTACAGGCGTGCACCACCATGCCCAACAGCTCAGTCATTTATCTGTTGAGTATTGACCTGAACCCTTCACTTCTATAATTTTGATATTTTCATTTAACCATTTGGGAAGGGGGACAAAGTCTTATTGTAGTCTAGACTTCATTCAATTTTGTGACCCTCCAAGCTTAACCTCCTTTATGCTGGAATTACAGGCACATGTCATGAGGCCCAGCTTAAAGTCTGTGTTCTTTGTTCTCTTGTGGAGGGCTGGGGTCAAACCAAAGGCTACAAGGCAAAAGCTCTGCTGCAGAGCCAGGACCCTTCATGCTAGGAAGAACTGGCCCACTGAGCTCCACCCTCTGCTCCAAATGTGATACTGTGGAAGAGAACTGGTCAGAACTGGTCACGATAGCACATGCTGTAATCCCAGCAGTCTGGGAGACTGAGGCAAGGGGGTCACAAGTTCAAACCCAGTCTGGGCAACTTAATGAGACCTTGTCTCAAAATAAAAAATAAAAATTGGTGGGGATATAGCTCAGTGGTAGAACATCCCTGAGTTTGCTGTCCAGTACTGCAGAAGGAAGGGATGGGGATGTAGTTAAGTGTAAAGGCCCTCTGTTCAATCCTGGTACTATATAAAGAAAAAACAGTCCTACTGGTCATTTATCACATGGAGTATCAGTTTAGATTTGTCATATATTTTCTCATAACTAGATTGAGTCATTTTTGAGAAGAATACTATAGAAATTAATGCCTTTCTCAGTGTATCTTATCAGGAGTATATGACATCAATATGTCTTGGAACTTGGAGGATTTTTTTCCTCATAACTAATAACTATTTGGAGTGGGATACTTGAAAACTATAGGAGTGTCCCATTTCTCCTCAGCTTTACTCTCAAATTCTCACATCCATCCATGGATCTTACAGATGAGGAAGCAGTTATGTAAAGGTTAAGTTACTTGCCCAAGGTCACTTGGCTAGTAGTAGTAGGATTAAGATTCACCTGTTAAAAAAATTGAAATTAAGTCTTAGACTCTTTAACAGAAAGGTAGATGAATACTTCTGGTGATGGTTTGAGTATTGCCGCATACTTTTAGAAATAGTCCACTAAACTAATAGTTATATTTTCGTAATAAAGAAAAAGTAATTTTAAAAATTCATTATCACTGGACATGGTAGTACATACTTAAAATCACAGACTCAGGAGGCTGAGGCAGGAGAATAGCTGCAAGTCCAAGACCAGCTTGGGCTACATAGTTCGTGGCCAGCCTGGACTGCATAGCCTGTCTAAAAAAAATTTTTTTTTAAATTTCATTATAAATTATAAAAGTAAAGCTTTCTTAGCTAGGTAACAAATATAAATGAAAGATTTCCTGAAAATTTTACAAGTCAAACTTCAAAAATCTTAGATTTCTTTTTATCTTTTTAAAAAAGTAAACGATGCCTAGCATGATGGTCCATTCCTTTAATCCCAGCACTCTAGCAGGCTTAGGCAGGAGGATTTCGCATGTTCAAGGGGCTGCATGGTGATTTTGGGGCCAGCCTGGAATGTCATGAGACCCTGTTTTAGGGAGAAGGAAGTGAGCTTGATGATTCTAGATGTAAATCCCAAAGTCAGTAGGATGAGCAGTGAATATGCTGTAAAGAGTTATTTATAGAGCTAGGGATGTAGCTCAGTGGCACAGCATCGGCATGGCAAGTTCGATCCCGGTACCCAATAAAAGAGCTGTTTACGGAGCACTGTTCTAGACACGTGGGGAGATATGTTTCATGAAGTATCAAGACTTTAGCTAAATGCATGATGTATTGCCCTGAAATGGAAAGGTAGGATGTAGTGAATGAGAGAGAGTGGTAGGGGCTGGGATCTGGACAGTCAGGGAATAAGTGATGCAGGACCTTGTAGATCATGCTAAGAGCGTTGAGCTTTAACTGAGTGTGGCAAGAAACTGTTGATGGCAGTTTTGAACCCTTCATGCAAGGAATACAGTCTGACTTAACTCGGCAGTGGAGACAGTCTGGTTGGATAATGCCTCCTCTGTGAGTATAACCTACAAACTAACAGGGTTTATTTGGCTCCTGGTTATGGTAGCTGGAGGGTCCAGACAGCATGGCCCTGGTGCCCTGTGACTGAGAAGTGGAAAAGAGCCAGTAGTGGGTGGAGGGAGTGCATGTACAAGAGAGTAAGCTAATGTAGCTACACTGGCTTTGTAACAGTCTATTCTTGTAAGGAATCCATGCCCAGGACACCTGACCCGCTAGCTTGAGACAACATAAATCCTTTCATGAGGGTAGAGCCCCTATACCTCATTACTTTCCTCTGGACTCCACCTCTTCAGGGTTCTACCTCTCAGACCATCACCCTGGGACCAGGCTTTCAGCACATGATGGTATGGTTTGTGTGTGGCCTTGAGTGCTTTATTTTCATTCATCTTTTCCCCATGGTGACTTAAAGGAACTAGCTTTCAAACCAATACAAGTATTTCATAAATATTTGTTCATGTGGGTTCATATTTGCTGCACAACACTTCACATCTTTGAATAGGAAAATGTGAATATGAGCAGTAAAGACACAACACAACCAACTGGGTTCAGTGAGAATCTGTTCTAAGTATTTATGTTTCTGGGGCAAGGGTATCACAAATAGGTTCAACAAAGAAAGCCATCTTTACAATTCAGAGGATCTTTTTCCATTTTTAAGCAGCACTGGCTATTGAGCCCAGGGCCTAGAACCTCTGATTTAAGATCTGTGTGCCATGTATGCCATGAATCCCTGGGAAGTGGGTTCCAGTAGCTCAGATGTGCTCCTGGGTCAGACAGGGTAGCGCTTCATTTGAACTCACATTTTTCCCTTTGGTTTCATTTTTTTCTGGTCATTTTCCTTAATGTGTTTGAGGAAGCTTTGAGGGCTTAATATGCTCAGTGTCATTGATTCTCTTGGCAAGCATCTTGCTATTGCTGGGTGTGGTGGTGCATGCCTATAATCATAGCTTTTGGGAGACTGAGGCAGGAGGATTGCTGCAAGTTCAAGGCCACCCCAAAATGCATGGTGAGACCCTGTTCAGGAAGAAAAAAAAATCTTGCCCTTAACTCGCTTACTTCTGACAGTATTAACAGCATGCCTGGTGACACTGGACTTTTCCAGTTTTGCCGTGGTAACATTTGTGTAGCATTACCTTTTGACAGTGCCCATTCCCTTGATGTCTGCAGTGTCATCCTTTTTGTAGATTTGCATCTATGTGGCCACAGGAACAACTCTATGTTTTCTAAAAGGCCTAGGGAACATATACTGGATTTCTTTCCACTTTCTTTTTGTGTTCATCATTTTGGCAAATTGCTGGATGAAGACATTTTTGGCTAGAAAAAAGCCAGCACCTGATCCTTTAGAAGCAAAGACTATGAATTGAGACATCTAAATGGAAAATATATAGATAAGTAATATTACATGGCTAGAGAGAGAGAGACTATAGTATTAATGTCTAGTTCTAAATTTGAATTATAAGTATTTCATAAAATGTTTTATACATGCATTGAAGCAATTTTGAAATCTTGAAACAGCTTAGAAGTTACACATTAGTTTTATATCTGTGCATATCAATACATTGCTTTTCAAAATGATGCTTTTCATATCTGAAATACAGCTGTATTTAAAAAGTTAACATTATATAAAATGTGAAGTACACACATGGAAAACTGTTAGTAGAATCTTTCCATTTGTTAAAACAGATTCACTTACTTTGATCAGGATGATTATCGGGAACAGATCTGATGGTCTCTTGACCAAATGTGACCGGGGTTTTGCTTTACTTGTCTTTGTAAATATTTCATGCATTTACAAATACATATTTATAAATGTGTTTTAGTTTTAATTCCTACAGGTAACCACGAGCTCTTTAGTTTACCATCAGCTTCTGTCATTCTTTATTGACACACACATCTAAGTTACCCATTCATTAATGGGACTTCCCTGGCATTTGAGTTTATAAGTGCTTTTCTAAATTCCTCCAAGTTTTTGCTGGATTTGCCACAAACAGAAGTCAAAGCACAGTGAGCTGAGGAACAAGAGGAGGTGGGGAGACGCAGAGCAGCATGAATGTTGTATGTCGCTGCCTTGGTACGGCACAGAGCAGGTCCATGGCCCGATTCCCATGAGTCCCATTTTTCAGCTGTGTTTCCAACCCACAGGAACGTGGAATTAGTGCCTTGCAGAACAGGGGTTATATACCATAGACAGTCTTGGGAACAGCACAAGAATGAAGACCTGATTTGACCCAGCTTTTCCCTTCTGGGTATCTTCCCAAAAGAATTTAAAACATCATATTACAGTTATATATGTGCACCCATGTTTATAGCAGCACAGTTTGTAATAGCCAGATATCGGAAACAACCTAAATGCCCATTGGCAGAGGGACGGGTAAAAAAGATGTGTTTTTCTGCAGTACAGTGCTACTCGGCCATAAAAAGGATAGAGACTTGTAGGTAAATGGAGGTAACTTGAGGTCATCCTCATAAGTGAAATAAGTCAGACATGCATGTGAAACATACTGTCTCACTAGTGTAAGAAGCTGAAAGGAACAACATATATATATGTATATAAAAATAGTCAAGATAGTTATACTAGTGATTTCTCTGAGTTCACTGAAGAGAAAGATTTGTGCTGGTGTTGTTCAAACAGTTGAATTCAGATGTCTTGTGCTCTGGGGATGGCAATGCGCAACATATGTACCATTGTTGCCCCTGATTGGCATGTTTTGAAATTTTTTTTTTCTTCTTTCTTTTCTTTCTCCTTGAAATAAAATGGATTTGAAAAAAAAAAAAATTAAGACCTAAAATCAAGAAAGGAGGCATAGCTGGGCATGGTGGCCTATGTGCCTATTATCTCAGCAGGGAGGCTGATGCAGGATTACAGATTTGAGCCCAGCCTGGGAAATTTAGTGAGAGACTCTTAAAAAAATAAAAAGGGCTGGCTAGGCGTGGTGGCACACACCTGTAAGTCTAGCAGTCAGGAGACTGAGGCAGGAGGATTGCCATGAGCTCAAGCCCAGTCTTTGGTACATAGTGCATTCAAGGGCAGCCTGAGCTACATACTGAGACCCCGTCTCAAAAAAACCAAAACTAAACTGAACAAACAAATACATAGGATAATACAAAGCTATTGATGTAGTTCAGTCAGAAGGCCCTTGGTTCCCTAGGACCATGGAGGAGTGTGGGCAAGGAGTTAAAAAAAAGCAGATAAAAGGCTTGGAAACAGCTTCTAGATTGCTTTAATAGGGTTAGGTTCCCAGCAGCACTTGGGTACAGTACTCGAGGAGGGCATAACTGCTAGGGTTTGTTTTGGGCTTCCACTCAGTAAGAGTTTCATGCGTAATAGTAGCGAGCTGCATTTATGTGGAATGAACATTTTCTCTCTGTGAAGCTTTGTGATAGTTTTGTTTTTTCCAGGTAAGACCCCATGCTTAGATAGTCTATGAAGAAGACAGGATTTATTCCTTTTCATTCTTTTTGGAGAACTATTTAGTCATAAACAACCCTGGCTAACTATATACATGATAGTCACAGAACTGCCTTATGAGAGTCATTAAAAAGATACTTTGAGGGGCTGCAAATATAGGATAGTTGTAGAGTACTTGCTTAGGGTACTCAAGACCCTGAGTTCAATCCCCAGCCTACATTGGGGGTAGGGGGGAAGCCACATGGAATGCTAGCTGGGCATGCGGTTGTGTGTGCCTGGAGTCCTTGCTACTCAGAAGAGGTGACTTGGGCCCAGGAATTGGAGACCAGCCTGGCCAGTACAGTGAGACTGTCTCATAAATCAGCACCAAGACATTAATGGAGTATTGGTGATAAGGTAGGTTACTGAGCAGATGTGTTTATCTTGGACTCTAAACCAAAGAATTTCACATTAACGTTGGGTAACAAAAAATAAGGCGGCTTTGATTTTCAGAGAAATGAATAATGGTCTTTCCCTCCTCCTCAGGATGGTCTTCTTGTTCTTCATTATGGTCTTGTGGTTTCTCCTCTGAAAATAACTTGAAGAGGTGAATTATGTTTCAAGGAGGAGAAGGAGGCTTCTGCAGGACTGCATTTCACCAAAGACTTCCACAGAATATATCACCGTCACCGCTTCACGCTGCCAAGATGTAGCTAATCTACTTTTAGAACCAGGATACAGCTTGGGATGAAGGAATGCATCTGTTATTAGAAACTGTATAAAAGCATCAGAGCTCAGGGGAAATTTTCAGAACATTGCCTTTCAAACTTGTTATTCCAGATACTTTGACATTGATTTTTCCTTCCCATTTTTACAGCACACTGGTTACTGTGTCCTCCATTGTTGAGTGCACACTTTTGACCGGTCAGGCGACCCTGGGAAAGCAGGCAGTGCATGTGTGGAGGCTCAGAGCAGAATGGCGGGCTGTGCCTGCGTGTCACTATTCTATGTGAAAAGACTGTTTCCTTTAGGGTGTATTGCCCACGCCAAAAGCCTTCAGTATAATAAAACTTCTTAACGTATTTTACTGTAAGAGGTGCTTATTTGTGACTTTTATTTGCATACATAACATGGTTGCTACCTTGTAATGACTTCCCTTTTGAAAGTAATAAACTTCAGGTGAATTTCAGAAGTTTATAGAACATTGGTTTCCTCAGTAAAATAGCTTAAAATTCATTTTTCACTGGGATAAAGAGTAAGTGTGAGAGCTGACTTTCACAGAGTTCAGTTTTAAGCATTATGTTGCCTAAAATTAGCACTTCAGTACTTTCTTGAAGAAATGTTTTTATAAACTTTATTTCACAGCAGAATTAACCAAATCTGTATCGAAACTTACAAAGGTAGAGGATTGGCAATTGATTTTAAAGAATTTTTGATTTGTGTGTAAATCTCTTCTAACATTTAATAAAAACTTAGTCTATTTTGACATATTTACTGTGGACTCTTAAAAAAACCAAAGCCCTTTAAGAGACAAGGTATCTGAATCAAAGTTGCTCTCTTTTTCTTTTTCTTTTTCTTTTTCTTTTTCTTTTTTTTTTTTTTTTTTTTTGGTGGCAGAGGTACTGGGAACCAAATCTAGGACCTCCACACCCAAAGCTCGTATTCTACCACTGAGTGATACTCCTAGCCCCACCTACGTCAAAGTTGAACTGCCTTAAAATAGATATTTATGCTGGCACAGTGGCCCTGACCCGTAATCTTAGCACTCTGGGAAGCTGAGACAGGATTGTGAGTTTCCTGGGCTGTTGAGTGACTCTTGTCTCAGGGTTGGGGGCTGATGTAGCTCAGTCATGGTTCAATCCCTAGTGCTAAAAAACAAATTTAATAAACGTATTTACCTGACTGTTCTAGATGCCATTGTTTGACAGTGAACAGAGGAACAGCTGTAACTCCATGGTCTCTTGAGTGTTTTTGCACATACTGCTAAGTATCTTAATTCTTATGTTGACTTACATCTCTTGGGATCCCACTAAGGATCCAGCTGGCTCATTGAGTCACCAGAAGGGCTCACAGAACGTGGAATAGCCACAGTACCCATGGTTGCTATTTATTACTGCAAAGAGGTACAGATTAAAATCAGCACAGGAGGGGCTGGAGATTCAGCTCAGTGGCCTAAGCGCCTGGCTTGCAAGCAGGCAGTCATAAGTTCGATCCCCGGTACTGATAAAAAGGAAAAAGACATATATATATATATATGTATGTGTGTGTGTATATATATATATATCAGCACAGGGACCAGGCCATAGGACGGACAGACTCTAGCAAGACCAGTCACAGGTGTGCAGTGGACTTCTGCAGCAGCGCAGGCAGTGCTAAGTGGGCATGGTACGGGTGAGCTACTGTCACAAGGAGATGGCCACCCGGCTGTTAGTACTCAGAGTTTTTAATGGGAGCCAGGTAGGCAGGCATGTGGGCCACTAGGGTTGGATCAGCTCTCTACACCTCAGGACCTGCCCAGAAGTCAGACTGTACCGAGACAGTTAAAGTCTGCTAAGGTAACCAGCCCTTTACGATGTCACATCAGAAATCCAGATTTGGGAACTGAGATAAAAGCCAGGAATGGTGACGGACACTTCAATCCATCCCGGCTACGCAGGAAGCTGAGGCAAGAGGATTGTGTGAGTCCAGGAGTTACAGACCAGGGGCAGTGAGACCTTGAGGCCCCCTAAAAAGGAGTAGGGGAACTCTTGCTGGAGACATAACTCACAATTTATAAAAACCCAGTTGGATGTCCCATTTGTAACAGGTGACTGAACAAAATAAATGCTTAAAGATTTTTTTCTTTTTTGTCTTTCTGTGATGGTCTTGCTATGCAGGTCAGGCTGGCCTCAAGCTCGCTTTGTAGCCCAGACTGGTCTTGCCCTGGGTGAAAGGTAGCTTTCAAACACAAAGATAATTTAACCAGCTGTTTCAGCCAAGTACTTACCTGCATAGAGGCTTACCTGTAGGCTTAGAGTAAGCACTTACTTTTATGGTTTTCCTCAAGAAACTACCCTTGTTCGTGAAAGTAACAGGGAAATGCTTATTTTCTTTATTAAATACTTCTTCAGTGAGCTCAGAAGTGTGAGCAGAGTGTGGGCAGAGAGAGCCAGATAAATCACCTCCACGTGCCAGGCACTGTCACCAGAAAGCCCTTTCCTGCAGGCGGCCAGCACAGACAGGGAGAACCAGCAGATCCACCTCTGTCTGCCGGGCATTACCACCGGAAGGCTCCTTCCTGCAGGTGGCCAACAGGAGCAGGGACACACAGCCAGGTAAGCCCTGTGCACCTGTAGGCCACCCTTGGAGAACCTTGGTTCCCTTAGGCAGCCATTACCCACCAGCAGAATCAGACAAACACGCCCCTGTGTGCCTGCCATCATCACGAGAGTCGCAGTGTATACACACAGAGAAGAAGCCGCCCCTCTGTCATGAACCCCTGGTCATTGGAGGAGCCCCAGTGTAGCTGCACACATCTGGAAAGGCCAGCCAGACTCCCTGCTACCTCCTTGTAAATCTGGGGTTAGAGGAACCCAGGTGCCTGTCCCATTTCCCTACACCGGGGAGGGGCAGCCAACGTGGAAAGTGCCTGGGACCCCACAACCAGCTTGTGGGAGGAACCCAGGAGAATGTCAAGATGAAGGAGCAAAAGGCAATCTCAGGCCTCCAGCCCACACAGAACAAGTCTGGGAGATAAAGTCATGGACAAAAGGGAAATCACACACCTTGAAATCTCTGAGAGGACAGCAACTGAAGTGAAGAAACAACCTCAGAATTGTAAAAGCAGTCAAATCAGAAAAAAATGTCTCAGGTAAAAGAAGAAATCACAAACATACTGAAAGAAATGCTCAGCAGGTCTAAAGTAGACATAGATAAAGAGCATAGGAAAATGCTGGAAACTTTGAATGAATATAAAAAGGAATTACAATACATGAAACATTCAAAGAGAGATCCAGGAAATTAAAGTCAATTGAAAGCTGGCAAAACCGCCTGGAAGAGACTGAAGAGAGACTTTCAAACCTTGAAGACAGGATTGTAGCTAGTGATCGTGAAAGGGAAGATCTCTTAAAAATAACAGAATCAGGAAACAATCCAACGACTCCAAGATGATGCAAAGAAGTATAACTTAAGAGTGATAGGTGTAGATGAAGAAGCAGGGGTCAACACAAATGAAATCAAAAGGCTATTTACAAAAGTAATAGAAGAAAACTTCCCAAACATGGGAAATGGATCTGGCAGGCAGATAAGTGAGGCATATAAGACTCCAACTAGCCATAACCAAAGTAAATCTACACCCACACACATAATAAGATCCCAGAAATTCAGCACAAGAATAGAATATTAAAAGCTGTTAGGGGCTGGGGATTTAGCTCAGCGGCATAAGTGCCTGCCTTGCAAGTAGGCAGTCATGAGTTCGATCCCCGGTACCGATAAAAAGACTAAATAAATAAATAAATAAATAAAAGCTGTTAGAGGAAACATCACCTATAAAGGAGAACCAGTCAGAATCACAGCAGACTTATCAACACAAGCCATCAAGTCAAGAAGAGTTTGGAGTAAAGTGTTTCAAACCCTGAAAGAAAACAACCTCCAACCCAGATTGGTCTCCAAAACTGTCTTTCAAAATTGATGGAAAAATAAGGTACTTCCATGATAAAGAACAACTGAAGGAATTCATTATTACCAAACCAACCCTACAGAAAGTGCTAGAGAGAGAGACAAAGCTGACCATGGTTCCAGGAACAGCAGCATAGGAGGACTACCAAGCAAGACAGGCAACCCAATGAAGGGGAAAAGTAGATGGTTATCCACAGAAGAATAACATGGCAGAGACAAACCAATGTATGCTGGTTGTAACCATTAATGTAGATAGCCTCAGTTCAGCAATAGAAAGAAACACAAGGAGACTGGATCAAGAAACAAGATCAATATACTGTATACAAGAAGCACATTTAACTGGAAAGGAAATTCATAGACTAAAAATCAAAGGAGAGAAAACTTATTTCATGTGACAGGAGACCAGAAAAAAAGCAAGAGTAACTTCCTCATCAACCATAGATGGATAAGAAAGATATGCTATTTTCATGTAGTGGAAAGCTACCCAGCTATAAAGTAGGATAATCTCGAGGCTCTTAATGGACCCAACTGGAGATCATGTTCATGGATGAAACAGTTTGAACTCATATGTGTGAACCTTAACATAAAGAACAGAAGGAATTAATGGGATCCAAAAGCAAAATAGTTATCGAAATACCTAGAAGGGAAAGGTGGTAACTACTGTTAATTTCTTATTGTCTTTTTTTTTTTTTTTATCAGTACCGGAGATCAAACTCATGACTGTGTGGTTGCAAGGCAGGCGCTTATGCCGCTGAGCTAAATCCCCAGCCCCTATTGTCTTGTCTTGAATTCTTGCATTATTCACACAATTTTGTTAGGTTTTGGCTTTGTTCTGTCTTGTTTTGTTAGATTTTACTCTGTCAGATGGTAAGGGCAGCTATTTTGAATATAATGGGCTACATTATGGTAATGATGGTTTCCTAGTATATTGTTTTGAAGTCTTACAATGCTTTCACTTATTTAATTGGTTTTATTGGTTTTTTTTTTTTTTTTTTTTTTTTTTTTAGATTTTATCTGTGATGGTATGAACAGCTATTTTGAAGAAAGTGAGACATGGTAGCCATTGTTGATTTCCTATCATCTTGCTTTGAAGTCCTACCATGCTTTTGTTCTTGGTTTGATTGGTTCTATTCTGTTGTGTTTTATTTGATTTTACTATGTGTGATGGGATGGACAACTTTTTGAGGAAAATGAGATACTATAGTAATCATTGTTCACTTCCTATTATGTGGTTTTGAAGCCCTGTAATGTTTTCATTCTCTTGAATGGTTTTATACTATTTTGTTATGTTTGATATTATTCTGTGTGAAGGTATGGTCAACTATTTCGAAGAAAATGAGACATCATGGTAGCCACTGTTGATATCCTGTTGTCTTGTTGTGAAGCCCTGTGTTGCTTGCATTGTTCTGTGCTGATTTGGTTCTGT